GCTCAGCTTTGATACAAGGCTGAGGCCTGGCCGAAACTCAGCACAGGGGTGACACTGGCTCTCAGGATGAAGTCTGGATGATGGAGCTCCATCAGCTCCACTGGCTGATGAAGGGGGGATGGACCATGATGCTGCATGACGAGCAGGACCTGCTGTGACCAGCCTGGCGCAGGCTGGCTGAGCCCATTTAGGGAGCATCCATGGGAATATCCCATCCATGGGGATTTTGCACCTTGGCAAAGGTTATATGGAAACAGAAGTAACCCAGTGCCAGCCCTCACCTGGCACCTGTAGCCAGGTCAGCAAAAGGCAAAGGGCTGCTGCAGTCCCTGCTCCAGCTCTGGCATGTGGCGGGCAGCCCTGGGGCCGGGGGGATGTGGGTGGCAGCTCTGGGTGTGGGGCCGGGCAGGGGGTGCTGTGGGGTGCAGGGCTGTGGCCATGGGCTCACGGTGCTGCCTGCACCTGGCTCGGGAGCTTCTGCGGGGGAACGAGCTCTGATATAAATATCTTCGTGCTCAGCACACGACCTACTTTCCAGACAATGCCATTAGCCTCCCGACTCCCTCATTCATCTTCCACTGTCCTCCCCCAGCCCGCCCCGTGGCAGCACCCGCGCCGCTGCTGCGCTCCCAGCCATGGCGCGGTGAAGCAGGATGGGTGCCTGCCTTGGTGGCACCATAGGGGCCCCCATGGTGGGGCTGGGATCCTCTCCCAGTGGCTGGGGGGGGGGTTTTTGCTGCCTGGCTGCTGCACTGGCCTCACAGGGGGTGTCTGGGTCCTCTTTGGGGTTTCTCCGCCCCATCCTAGAGGGTGCTCAGCTCCGTCATCCCTCCCTGCTGCCTCCAGGCCCATTCCCTGGAACAGTCCTTGGCAAATGGCCTCATCCAGGGATAGCCTTGTTGGGGACATCCTTGCCAGGGCAGGGAGCAGCCAAGTGTTGGCTCTGGGCTGGCCCATGGGCAGCGTGTGGGGACCAGGTCCCCCCTGAGTCCCCCAGAGCATCCCTGGCACTGGAGCCACTCAGGTGGTTTATCCCAAGGGAGCTCCCACGTGGTGGCAGGAGCTGTGCTGCTCCGTTGGTGGGGTTAGGGGCAGAGGGTGCCTGGTCCTGGTGGCAGCCCTGGAATCATTGTTCCCCTTAGAGCTGGAAATGCCTCCCTGGAGGCAGGGCAGCCCCAGCTTGATGCACAGCTCCCGTGCCCCTGGGGCTGGGCCCCCGCTCCTCCCTGCAGCTGGGATTCAATATTCCATGTGTAGTGCTGCTAAATCCTGCAAATCTCTTCTATCTCTGAGCTCCTGTCACAGGAATATCAGTGCTGTAATCCCTGCAGGGCCCGTCCCGCAGCCCTGCGCAGCTCCCCAGACCCTGCAAGCGTTCACACACCGTGGAGATGTGCCATGGGTTAGTGGTGGCCTTGGCAGTGCTGGGTAAAGGTTGCACTTGGTGATGTTAAAGGTCTTTCAGTTCAGTTGATTCTCTGATTCCATGACCACGCTTCCTTTTCCCCACATCCTCCCATGAGATGCTTCAGAGGCTGGTGATAGAGCAGGACCTGGTGCCTATGGCAGAGCCCCATCACTGCCCCTGCCTGTGCTGCCTGCTGTGAGGGCAGGCACCGTGCCCATGCTGTGTGTGATGGGGATGCCAGCACCCAGCGTGGTCCCACCAGAGTGTTCCCCATCGCTGCTGTGCCCCCGCTCACCCTGCACCCCCTCGCTCTGCCCTGGGTGGGGGCTGTGCTAAGAGCATTCTGCAGAATTACGTAGTTAAATATTTAGGTTTTCATCAGCTTTGCAAATTAAGCCCATCCATTAAAGCAGCAGTTTGGGTCCTCCGCTGGTGAGCGGGGACTGTGCTGGGCCCCAGGCTCTGTGTGCCCATCCCAGCCCTGGCCCTGAGGGGACCCACAGGTGGGATGCAGGCTGGGAATGGGGCACAATGGCCCAGAGCATCCCTACCAGCACAAGGACCAGTGGCTCTGCTTCCTCACCATTCCCAGGTCCTGCTTGCTGGAAATCCTGGCCCCTGCAGCCCTGCTGCAAGAAGAACCGTGGGCTGGGATGGTGTTGCAAAGGGAAGTGGTGGGGGTGGGTGTTACTTGAGCAGGAACGGGCAGAGATCATCACTGCTGCTGTGCTTGGTGCTAACACCGCGCTGCCCTGAGCTCCCAAAGCGGCTTTGGAGTGATCCCTGGCTTAAGTCATTACACTGTGTTCGGGGATGTAAGTGGCTTTTTAAGCCCAGGCAGCACGGCCCGTCCTGCTGATGGAGCAGGGAGGAAGAAAAGGCACAGCCTGGGGCATGCATGGGGGGGCTGCCATGGGGCCCAGATGCCTGGAAAGGGCCCTCTGATGGGGCAGGTCTAACTCCTGGGGATGCCCAAAGCCCACTGCCTGCCTGGGGCTTTGATGGGCACTGGAGCAAGGTGTCCACCTGGGATGCAGGCAGAGCCCCAGGGGGATGCCTCTGCTCATCCCTTCCCTTTGCTGCAGGTGAATATTGGGTACGTTGGTTTGGTGTCAGCTCTCTGTCCCATGGGGCTCCCTGTGGTCACCTGCGTGTCCCCCCCTTCCCAAGCACTGGAGGGGCACTGGGGTAGCGTGCTGGCTGCTGCTGGCCCCTGGCAGCATGGGCAGATGTCGAGTGCATCCATGGGAGGAAAGCTGTCCATGGGCATAACCGGTGAGGGGTGCTCATGCGTGCAGTGCAGTGCCCATGAACCCTGCAACAGCTGGAGTGGGATGGGGTCCCCAGGGCCTTGCTTGGCCTGGGGGTCCCTCCAGGGTGGTCTCCCAACCCAGTTGGCTTCTGCTGTTCTGGCTGTGGGGTCTCACCTCTGGCAGGGGGTCCCATGTGTCGTGTCCCAGCCCCCATGGGCAGGACGAGCATCGCTGCAGGGCTGAGGGGGCTGGAGGTGTAGCTCACCCTGCCACCCCTGCCTCCACTTGCTCCCAGCCATGGATGTTGGCACGGCCCCTTCCCTGTGCCACCTTTCCTTCTAAGCCAACCTCACTGTGGGCTCTGGCTGCCGGCCCCGTCCTCTCGTACAGGGCTTTTGAAGAAGTGGCTCTTCCATCAAGATCCAGGTCTGGGCTTTGTAGGGATGCAGCACCAGGCTCCCTTCTGCACTGGTTCTGTCCTGGCAGCTCTGAGATGCTTTGGCTCTCCAGGGCACCACAGAGCGTGGCTCCTGCCCTGGGGACATTGGCACTGGGTACCAGGGTGTCCGGGCTGGCCCTTGGATGAAGGGGTCCTGCTCCCTGCAGCCGCCGCCGCCGGAGGCACGTGCGCTGTGCCAGGGAGTCCCGGTGCTGGCGGCCGTGCGGGATCCCTGGCAGCTGGGGCGCGTCGTGGCCGTATTTCCTCGCTGTGCTCCAGGAGTAATTGCTCAGAAGGGGATTTGGGGCAAGTCCCATCCCTCTCCCGCCATGGTAATGAGTGAAGAAGGCTCAAAGACAAATGGCTCATTAAGAAGCAGTGCTGCATTGCAGGATTTTTCATCCCACCAACCGCTGCATCAGCAGAGGCAGCACCTCTCACGCTCGCTCTCCCCACCCCTGGAGAAGGATCTGCCAGGCAGCCAGTGCCAAAATTAATCTTGTGCTTAATAACCTGATAACCTCCCCTCCCGCCCGACGGCCTCTCCTCAGCATCCCTGTGCCTGGAGGCAGCGCTGGCTTGAGCCTGGGGGCGCTGGTTTGGTACCTGGGAAGCGCCCAGTGAGGAGCCATGTGCAGGGAAAGGGCTGAGCATCGGGGTGCCAGGGTCCCCCCAGCCCGGCTCCAGCAGCCGCTGTCGGCAGCCTCAGTAAATGCTTCTCACCCCCCTCACCTTCACAATTCCTCAGTGGGTGTTTGCCCTTCATGACTTGCCCAGCATCTTGCCTTATCCCTTATTGCCAGCGGCACCCAGTCAGTTCCTGCCCCTCGCAGCCCTCCCACCTGCAGCCCCTCGGTTTTCTTCTATTAGCAGGAATCGGGTTTCATTTTGGGATTGCATCGAGCGCATTTGCTGCGATCTTTGCACCCTGCTCGCTCCCCTTCCCCTGGCCAGCCCGTACCCCACGTTCCTGGGGTACCAAACCTCTCCCTAAGCACTCTTCCTGCCTGACGTGCCCAATGAACATCAGCGAGCTTCTTGCAGCTAATTCAACTTTTAAGAAAATAATGACTCGGCGCAGAATTTTGTGCTAAATTAGGCAATTTCTCACTAAGCCCCTCTCATTTTATATTTTTTTTTCCAGGCTGAGTAAATTTTACTAATACAGCCTAATAAAATAACAGAGCAATTAGTAATTAAATAAAATGTTTGCTTTCCACAACCCTTCTCGCTTACAGTGAGCTGGGGGAAAGTCAACAGATTAGGAGCGCAGTGGGAGCGACCTGGCGATATTCCCTATGTGTTTTCCTCCCATGGCCCTAGTTCAGATCCGCTCAGCTCCTGAGTGGGAAACCCACTTCAGGGCCCTTTCCTGTCCCCCAGGCTCCAGCTCGTGTGCGGTGCCGGGCGCTCCCGCTGCGCGTTTGTTCTCTCCTGCTTTCATCCCCGGCCGCAGAGCCCCGCAGCAGGACCCGCGCTGCCAAACCCTTGTGCTCATTTGCCGAGCAGAACGGGCCGAGCTCCCGCCGGTGCCGGGCCAGCGGCGGGGATAAGATCCCTTTGCTCCCACCGGAGAGCCGGGTGGCAGGAGGAGGCTTTGTGGAGCATATGGCTGGATGCGGAGCAAATCAAAGTCAATGGCGAGGCGGCCGCTGGGCCAGCTCTGGCGCCCGCTGGCAGGGAATTGCATAAGAGGATGGGGCTGGGGATGGTTTTGGGCTAAGCTGGGCAAAACACGTGGCTGAGCCGTCCCCGTCACTGCTGGTGCGGGGTGGCCTCCGGGGAGCAGGGAAGGCTGGGCTGTGTGAGAATGCACAGGGAGTGGGGTCAGGCTGGTTCTGGGGAGGAGCATCCTTGCTCTTCCTCCCTGGCCTTCATCCCCTTTGTCTTGCTCCCCCAGAGCCTGCTGCCCCCAGGAGATCCAGTGTGGAGGAGCCATCGGTGGCTGGGGCCATGAGGACAGCATCCCCCTGAGCGCAGGGCGGTAAGTACCACTGATGGGCTTCACCGGGACCCTGCACATGCTGCCCGTGGAGTGGGGGGGTCAGGATCCCCAGGTACGGGTCCATCAACCCCAGCTCTTGGGGTTTGACCTGGAAATGTTGGAAAACCCAGCCTAGCCCTGTGCTAGGTGGTTTCCTGCACCCAGAGGTTGTGGTGGGGGTTTGCAGTCCCATCAGCTCCCCACTGCTAGTCCTGAAGCTGGAGGAAGGCTGGGGGGCCCCTGGGTGCCACAAGGTCCCAGGAGAGATCTGGTTCCTGCTGGGGCTGCCCCATGTCCCTGGGCCCAGTGCGTTGCTGCCTCCAAGGCAGAGATCTCACTGGGTGGCTGCTGGGAAGCAGAACCGCCTCTGCCAAGTGCTCCTATGGGAAACCAAGCAGGAGGCTGGATTTCAGCGTGGCTGGGGGCTATGGGGCCCTTCTCCTCCCTGTGCTGACCCTCGTGGTGGGGAGAGACGTGTGGGGAGCAGATGTCAGCTGGGAGGTGGCACTGGGGAATCGCCGGTGGGAGTTTCTCCAGGCTTTGGGTGCAATAAAGGCAAGGAGTGAGTTATCTGCACTGGTAATTACGCTCTTCCAGTTTACCCTAGCACATAATCATGTGGGCGGTAGGTTCTCACTGGTGGTAATTACCCTGGTGTTAAATGGCACAAAATTCAGCCAGGCTGGGTTTGCCCCCCCCTCCCCCCCCTTTTTGAGTCCATGTTTTGGTGGCACAAATCCCTTCCTTCCCAAGAGATGTGCGGTGTGAGTGGCCTTCAGTGGGACACGGATCTGGCTGGATCCCCCTGTCCCACGTGGCAGCCTCCTGCCTGCAGTGCCCGTGCTGGACAGGACAGAGGAGCAAGCTTGACGGCTTTTCCTCCCTCTTCAAGTTTCAATGGGTTTGGGGACCCTGGGCCACGCTGCTCTGCTGAGACCCACAGCATCGCTCCCAACCCCTTCCCCATGCCCACAGAGGCACCAGTTGGTCCCTGGCCAGGGCTCAGGTGCTTGCATGGCTTTGGTGAGCTGGTTCCGGCCTGGATGCAGCATCCTTCACCATGGCTCATCCCCGTCCTCTGCCGTCTCCTGCTCCACCGGTGGCTGTGGGATTGCTGTGGCAGGGCCCAGCTTTGTTTAACTCCTGCCCTTGCTGCACACAGAGCCCCGCCGTGCCCGTGCTGGTGGCTGCGCCACTGTTCTGACTCCTTCTCCCCACTGCAGCAGCAGTGTTTGGATCACCGGAGAGCTTCCCTCCCCGAGCAGCTGATAGCTCAGCCTGCAGCGGTGGAGGCAGAGCCGGAGCCTGTGTGTCTGTGTGTCCATCCTGCTGCCGATCCCAAGCTCGGCCCCTGGCAGCAGCTGTCTCGGGAGGCTGCAGCATCCTTTGGTGAAGATGCAGCAACTGGGGAGCCTCGTTAGAGCTGGAGCACAAGTGGGAGGGCAGAGGGAGAGGCACAGGATGGAGCATCCAGCCTGGAAGGAAGGAGGCGGTGGAGGCTGATTAGGGCAGATGTGTTCCCCAGGCACTACTGCATCCAGTCTGCTGCATGCCACCAGCACACACATCACCTCCCACCCTGCGACCATCAGGGGCCTCCAGCCCTCTTCCCCTCCTGGCTTTCCCAGTGTCCCTCTGATCCCCACATGTCAGGCAGACCCCGTGTACATGGGGGCCATCCCATGGTCACCTTTTCCTGCAGTCAGTCTTAGATACGGGCTGCCCACAGCACCCTGCCTGCATATGGTAACAAGATCATTAACAACGCCTGTTAATTAGCTGAGCTACACTGGGGAATAAGTAATTTCCTCATTGACAGTCATACCAAAGGCACAGCCTTTGAGGACCATGAGGAAAACAAACCTCTGTGGGTGCACAGAGCTCCAGCGTCCCCAGGGCCAGCCTGGCTCAACCCCATCCATCCTCCTGCTTCGCTGTGGGGATGCCCACACGCAGCTGAGCCATCCCCGCTCCCTGGATCCCATCCGTGGGGCTGGAAGGGCGGTGGGAGCTGGGGGGCAGACACTTGTGGGTCTCCCTCCATGCTGGGCACGGTGCAGGGAGGATGGGCTGGATGGAGACATCCGAGCGCGGCTCCCCCGCGGCAGCTCATTAGCAGCTCCGTGAATCGCAGCGGCTGAAAATCCCAGCCAGAGCCATCTCCTCATGGAGAAACACTTCATAATATTTGGTGTCGGAGAAGAAAACAACTTTGTGATGATGGCAGCGTGTCCTCCCTCGCCGTCTGCAGGCCCGTGCTGCCTGCGGCGCTGCTGCCGGCGCCTTCCCCTTCCCGCTGCCGGCACCGTGCCCCCCTTGCCCCATGCAAAACCAGGTTCCTGGCATTCCAGGGGCCCATGCAGGGCCAGATCCTGCCCTGGGAGCTTCCCAGCCCTCTCAGTCCGTTCCCATGGGGAAGCTGCAGTGTGTTCCTGGCAGTGGGGTGCAGGGGGGAGTGTGACGCTGTGTCTGTCCCTATCCCCGCAGATGAGCCCGCAGGGACGGCCCTGCAGGATGCCGAAGCTATGGGGCGGGTGCTGACACCATGAAGGGCTACCATGGGGAGCGTAGCCAGGTACAGCCCTCCTCCGGCCACCGCTGCCGCTGCATCCCTGAGGACTGCCAGCATCCCGCCGACTACATCCAGCACGGCCCCGAGGGCCGCCCGCCGTACCCCGTCAGCCCCAGCGAGCCGTGTTCCTTGGAGCATCCCTACTGCCCGGCGCGGAGCCCCGGCGCGGCCAGCGAGTGCCCGGGCGGGCCCTTGAGCGAGCTGCCCTCGGCCAGCGCCAGCAGCACCTTCCCGAGGATGCACCACGCGCAGCAGCCCTACGACTCCTGCGACGAATGCATGGCGACAGCAGCCCACCCCGCCAGCAAGATCAACCGCCTGCCCCCCACGCTGCTGGACCAGTTCGAGAAGCAGCTCCCGCTGCACCACGACGGCTTCCACACCCTGCAGTACCCGCGGGCCGGCGGCGCCGAGCCCCGCAGCGAGAGCCCCAGCCGCATCCGCCACCTCGTCCACTCCGTCCAGAAGCTCTTCGCCAAGTCCCACTCCCTGGAGGCGCCGGCCAAGCGGGAATACAACGGTGCCAAGATGGACGGCCGCGGGGACGGCTACCACCACCACCACCATCACCACCACCATCACCACCACCAGTCCCGCCACGGCAAGCGCAGCAAGAGCAAGGACCGCAAGGTGGACTCCCGGCACCGGTCCAAGATGATGGGCTGGTGGAGCTCCGACGACAACCTGGACAGCGACAGCAGCTACATGGTGTCCGGGCGGCACGCTGCCGACCAGGGCACCCAGTACTGCGTGGACGCTCCCGAAAGTGCCTTCAGAGACTTGACCTTGAAGAGTCTAAAAGGCGGCGGGGAAGGAAAATGCCTGGCTTGTGCCGGCATGTCCATGTCTCTGGACGGCCAGACAGTCAAGAGGAGCGCCTGGCACACCATGACCGTCAGCCAGGCACGGGAAGCCTACCCCAGCGCCGGCAGCACCGAGAAGACCTTGATGCTTCAGGAATCAAAGGCCAAAGACCGAGCGTACCAGTACCTGCAGGTGAGGGGCTGGGCAGGCGCTGCCACCCCAGGGGCTGTGGCTGGTGATGCCATGGGGTGCCCCCAGCGCTGGGACCCCAGAACCCCAGGGCCCTGTGGGGATGCTCCAGCTCTGCCCCGTGTCCTGCGTTGGTCCCTGCTGTCCCCCATCTGCCTCCTGCCCTGTACCTGATGGATTTGGGGCTCTGCTGGCTCGGCGGCCCCTCCTCTGCTCCCTCCTTGTGGCTTTTATCCTGCTGGTGCCTGGCTGGGTGCCTCCCCTGCCTCGTCACCGGCTCCCTTCTAGGTCACCCCCCTTCCAATTAAAATCTAATTAACTTTCCTCTTCCTTTCCCGGGGGAAGGAGACAGGGATTGGCAACACTGCGCTGGGCAGGGGAGGGGGGTGGCCGGGGCCCCTCTCTGCCATTAGCAGGGGCATCTGGGCAGGGGGCTGGCCCCATTGCCCTCCCCATGGGGCTCGGGGGACACCATCCCCCTGCCACAGCCCGGTAAGGACCCCGTGGTGCCGGCGGGACCAGCGGCTGGTGGCTGTGCTGGCATGGGTGGGATTTGGCCCAGCCGTGCCTGCCGGGGGGGCTGTGAGGTGGGAAAGGCTGCGTTGTCCCGTGTTGTAGGAATGGGACTGGGCACAGGGAGCTGTAGCTGCTGGGGGGGCTCAGCTCTCTGGGTTTAGGGGCTCTCTCAGAGCACTGGGGTGCGGTGGGGAGGGCAGGGGGTTGTGCCAGTGCAGGCGCCAGCCTTGTGTTTGCACGCCAGGGCACAGGGCGGCACAGGCCATGTGGCAGGCACGGGGTTGGTGTCCCCACCACGGGACCGCAGCCACTGCATCTGCCCACGCTTGCCTCCCGCTCCAGGTGCCCCAGGATGAGTGGAGCGGGTACCCGGCGGTGGGCAAGGACGGGGAGATTCCCTGCCGGCGGATGCGCAGCGGCAGCTACATCAAGGCCATGGGCGACGAGGACAGCGCCGACTCCGACATCAGCGCCAAAGTATTGCCCAGGGCGGCCACGCGGCGAGACAGCTACCGCCGCTCCTCCAGCGCCGACCAGGCCAGGACCAAGTAAGGGCCATCACCTCCCAGAGCCACCGCAGCACTGCGGGCAGCAATGGGGTCATGGGCTGCAGCTCCCTGGGAGGATGAGCAGCAGCATCCTTGCTTATAGCCCAGTGCAGCGGTGCTGAGCCCTGCCCCTGAGCTGTGGCTGCCCTTGGTGGGTGCTGGGATGGGCATGGCTGTGCTGGGCCTTGGGGTGGGACCTGCTGCTGCAGCCACATCAGAGGCTGGGGAAAGAGGCACGTTCAGGAGGAGATGACTGAAACGTGCCCAGTCCTGGAGGCACATTCAAAAGGAGAAGACTGGGACATGCTCCAGTCCTGGAGGGTGGTAGGCTGGCTCCTTGTTCCCATTCCCACTGCCTGGAGCAGGCACATACCTCTCCATCAGTCTTGCACTTCTGGGTGATGGCTCCATACCCCCAGGACAGCGTTTCGGGCAGTGAGGAGTGGGTGCAGTGGTAGTGGCCATAGCGAGCATCACTACGGCTGCGTTTCCAAATGCTCTGCTTGAACTTGTTGCTTTTGGTGCGATCCCTTCTATTCCCGCTGTCTCTCATTAGGTTTGCAAGTAGGCACTATTCTGATTCATATATCTGTAACTGTCCCAGCTGCTGCACGCCACCGCGAATGCTCCCGCGGGGACAGAGCTACGGGCGCTCCTTCACCACCGGCCAGGTACGGTCCCAGTGCCGCGGGGCACTGCCGGGGCAGGGAGGCGCAGATGTTCCCCATAGCATCTCCTGCCGCGCTCAGCCCCACCTCAGCACCCCCAGCCTCACCCGCTGCTCTCCCCAGATCAACGACGAGCTCAACCACCAGTTCGAGGCCGTCTGCGAGTCGGTGTTTGGCGAGGTGGAGTCTCAGGCCGTGGAGGCGCTGGATCTGCCCGGCTGCTTCCGCATGCGGAGCCACAGCTACCTGCGGGCCATCCAGGCCGGCTGCTCCCAGGACGACGAGTGCCTCTCGCTCTTCTCCATGTCAGCCCCCGCCGGGCCATCCATCACCAGCAGCATCCTGAAGCCCAGCACTTGTGAGTCCCGGGAGGTGGTGAGGGCTTGCTCATGCGAGGGACCCCCACATCTCCCTGCCTTCAGCTGGGAGCCTGCCAGGGGCTGCTGATGTCCTCACTCCTGCCCCAGCCCTGTACAGCCCTGGCACAGGGTGCGAGCATCCTGCTCCTGGCTCAGTCCTGGTCAGGGGGTGCTCTGTGCCCCCAGCACCTCTCTGCTGTTCCCTCCATCTCCCCACTTCCATCTGTGCCCCCTGAGGGTGCTGTGGGAACATGGCCAGCGTGGCTCTGGGGTGGTTTCCAGTGGGGATAAACAGGCCAAAAAGCTCCAGCCTGGATCTCATCCAGCTGAGGTGCAAACCTGGTGGGTTCCTGAGCCCCTGCTGCGGGAGGAGGTGGGCACCGTCCCCGGGGCCCCTGTTCGTGGCGGGCAATGAGCAAGTGTCTGTGTTTTCACGGTCCTTTTCATCCTGCGCCTCTCCCACAACAGCCTTCAGTTACAGAAAAGCTCCACCTCCCATCCCTCCAGGAACCAAAGCCAAGCCCCTCATCTCCGTCACGGCGCAGAGCAGCACCGAGTCTGCCCACGAGAGCTACCTGCCCGGCGAGGCCACGCGCGGCTCCGCATGGCCCAAGGACTCCGCGGCCCGCTGCAACTCGGCCGAGAGCCTGGACACCTCCAAGGTGACGTCCGTGGCCCTCGACCTGCCCCCGGTCCAGCCCCGTGCTGCTCCCAAGCCCTCCACACTCATCATCAAGGCCATTCCCGGCCGGGAGGAGCTGCGGAGCTTGGCTCGGCAGAGGAAGTGGCGTCCCTCCATCGGTGTCCAGGTGGGATTCGCTCCTCCCTGTGGGCTCCAAGCTGTCTCTGAGCCTGCCTGAGTGGCACGGGCCGCAGCGAGCTGCTGTACCAGCATCCTCCCTCTGTCCCTCGTCAGGTTGAGGCCATCTCCGACTCGGATACAGAGAGCCGGAGCCAGAGGGAATTCCACTCCATTGGGGTGCAGGTGGAGGAGGACAAAAGGTACCGCACGACCGGGCTGGGCTGAGACCTGCCACGCTCCCTGCACTGTGGGTCCCTGAGCAGCACACCCCATCACTGCCCCACAGCAGCTTGTCGTTCTCTCCTCTGGCTGAGACCCTCAGAGCTCAGCGCTGTCCCCATCTTGGGCAGGATCTGCCCTCCCTTTGCCCTAGTACCTCACTGCTGCAAGCAGACTGCCTGCTCCCCTCCCTGTGCTCGGGTCCCTTTTGCTGGGGCTCAGCCCTGAGATTTGCACACATGAAAGCTTTGGGCTTTCCTGCAGGTAAACATGACATTTTGGCTGGGTTGGGAATGCCGAGTGGCAGGACCTGCATGGCCTGCGGGAGGGGAGCTCCTGCAATGTGCCCACGCAGCCTGGTGCATGCTCTCCATCCTTGGTCCAGTGCTGGTAGCCATGGAAACGGGCTAAGAGCAGAGGAGATGAGGGACCAGCAGGTTGTGGCTGCTCAGAGCTGTTCCTGTGGCCCCAAATACTCCAGGATTCAGCTTGATACCGGCATCCCCAGCCCCATTGTGGCTGTGGGCATCCCTCACTCTACCCCTGCCCATCACGGTAACCAGCGAGGGGATGGAGCAGTGGGGTTGTCCTTGTTAGCTGCGGCTGCTGAGAGCTGTTCCCATGGCCCCAGATTCTCCAGACTGATCCCAGCATCCCCAGCCCCATCACGCCTGTGGGAATCACTGCCCCTGCCCAGCAGGGTGATGGGGAACTGGGGCTGCCCCTGTTGGCTGCAGGGTCCCCATGCGCTCCTGCTCCCCGCAGGCGAGCGCGCTTCAAGCGCTCCAACAGTGTTACAGCAGGCGTGCAGGCGGACCTGGAGCTCGAGGGCTTCACCGGCCTGGCCGTGGCCACCGAGGACAAAGCGCTGCAGTTCGGGCGCCCCTTCCAGCGGCATTCCTCGGAGCCCGAGACCGGCCGGCAGTACGCGGTGTACAAGACGGTGCACACGCAGGGGCAGTGGGCGTACCGGGAGGACTATCAGCTGCAGTATGACACGGTGGAGGTGCCCCGGCGGGATGCCTGGATGGAAAGGGGCTCCCGCAGCCTTCCCGACTCCGGACGTGCCTCCCCCTGCCACCGCGATGGGGAATGGTTCATCAAGCTGCTGCAGGCAGAGGTGGAGAAGATGGAGGGCTGGTGCCAGCAGATGGAGAGGGAGGCTGAGGACTATGACCTGCCAGAGGAGAGTGAGTCTGGGCGGGTTGTGGGGTCGGGAGACACTGGGACCACCTTGGGACCACTTTGGAGCATCTCCCCTGCCAAGGCTAAAGAAGTTGAGTGGGGACGAGAAACACCAGGAAACCCTTTGGGATTAGCGGGGTCTGGAGGAGGGAAGAGATGCCCAATGGGTTAGCGAGGTACAAGAGGGTGCAGGTCCCCACCATACGGGGACAGGCTCTGTGCCCCATGGGAGCGCTGACTGTCTGCTCTCCCCCCTGCCAGTCCTGGAGAAGATCCGGAGCGCCGTGGGCAGCGCCCAGCTCCTCATGTCCCAGAAGGTGCAGCAGTTTTACCGCCTCTGCCAGCAGAACATGGTGAGTGCCAGGCAGTGGTGCCAGTGGGAAAGGGACTTGGTAACGCCATGGGGACAGAGATCCCCCAGCAGCGAGGCAGTGGGATGACCACATGGTTAGCGGACATGATGTCCCACAGGGTGATGTGGATGACACTCTGTCCCCACAGGATCCCAACGCATTCCCCGTGCCCACCTTCCAAGACCTGGCCGGCTTCTGGGACCTCCTGCAGCTCTCCATTGAGGATGTCAGCATGAAGTTTGCAGAGCTCCTACAGCTCAAGGCCAACGGGTGGAAGATTGTGGAGCCCAAGGTAAGGGCAGGGCTCTGCTGTGGGTACTCATCCCTTGTCACTTCTCCCTACCTCCTCCTCCTCCTCAAGCATATCTGCACCCCAAACACCACTGCTTTCCTGGGCTGCTGCAGGGGACTGCTCTTAGCAAGCACTTGGAAAATAGAGGTGGAAAACACGAGGGTAAAGAAGGGGCGGTTTCCCTGCCATGGGCTCGCTGGTGTTTCTGGGCAGAGCTGCCTGCACAGGGACAGGCAGGGTCTTGGCACGGGCAGCCTGCGGCAGGAACAGATGAAAGGACATGCACTTGGTGCGCAGGAGGGTTTGTGGGGCCATCTCAGCATGGCTTTGGCACCCACCGTGCACGGAGGCGTCTCACACGCCTGCTGCCTGCGCTGCACCCACCGGGATGCCCGTTCCCGGAGATCCCATCCTGAAGCCGCTGTTGTCTGTGCAGGAGGAGAAGAAGGTGCCTCCCCCGATACCAAAGAAGCCGCCGCGCTCCAAGGTGCACCCGGTGAAGGAGCGCTCCCTGGACTCGGTGGACCGGCAGCGGCAGGAGGCCCGCAAGCGCCTCCTGGCAGCCAAGCGCGCTGCCTCCTTCCGCCAGAGCTCGGCCACCGAGAGCGCGGACAGCATCGAGATCTACATCCCCGAGGCGCAGACCCGGCTCTGACCGCAGCCTCCGCTTTTCTACCCGGACTGGACGGCGCGGCCGTAGCTCACTGTGACGGGGGCCGCGGGGACACCCTGGGGCAGCTCCTGGCCCCGCTCACAGCTTCTCTCTTTTCTATCTTAGACCTTTCGTGGATCCGACGGCGGGGGAACACAAGCCCGGTTCTGCCCCGTCCCATTGCCCCCCCTGCCCGCATGCCCCTGCCAGCCTCTCCCGGGGTCCGGGGCTCTCCCTCCCTCTGCCCTCCCTGGGGCCATGTCCCAGCTCTCAGTCCCCTTCCCACCCCTCCTGCACCCCCTCCCCAGCCTGTGCCCCCACTGAAAGAGAGGTGACCCCCAGCCTCTGGCCCCCTGGGCTGGAGGGGAGGGGGCTGCAGGCAGGCCCCCCCCAGCCTCTCTGTATTCAGTGCAATCCGCCCCAACCCAGTGGGGACGGGACCCCCAGCCCCACCAGCACCAGGCTTTGGGATGTGGCAGGGACACAGGGATCCTTTGCGCTGCCCCTGCCTGCCTCCGGCTCAGGTGCCACGGGGGACCCAGGGCTGCTTCCCTATATACATCTATAACTATAGCCTGAGGAATAAACCAGAAACTCCCCGTGCCCAGAGCTGTGTTCTGCCTGGCGGGATGGACCAGAGCAGCAGGAGCCCCCGGGCACGGCCCCGCTTCCCTCGCACGGAGCATCGCGATGCGCTTCTCCCCTTCCTGCTCAACCCTCCTTCCCCATCCATCTGTCCTCCATCCGCCCGTCCTCCCCTCCTGCCAGCCTGGAGTCTGGGAGCACCTCTGCAGCGCGGCACTAGCCAGGGATGGGGGATACGGTCCCCCTGTGCCTTGCCACCAATGGGAGCCACTTCCCAGTGTGTGAGCAAGGTGGTGGTGATGGGGAGACCTGCTTGTGGTGCCAGGGACCACCGTGGCTCTGCCGGTGGGTTGGATGGGAGCATGGACATGACCAGCAGCTGCCACTTGAGTGTGGGGCTGCTGGAGGTCTCCCTGATGGGTCACCGCTTCTCCCATGGGATGGGACACCCCAAGATGGGGCTGCCATGTGCTTGGTGCCCCCTGGTCCCTCTCTAAGCATCCTGTCCCCCCCAGTGTCCCTTTCGGTGGCAGAAGAGGGGAGAACCCCATCCCTGTCCCTCACCCTGCCACGCAGCATCACCAGCCACTCCCAGGCAGGGCCGGCAGGTGCCAGGAGCTCCTGAAATCCATGGCCAAACGTCTCCCAGGGCCCTGGGGCAGGGCAGCAGGATCGGAGGAAGCTGGGGGGGGGGGAGCATCTTGTGCCCCCCATATACCAAGAGGGGGCCAGGGCCAAGCATGGGGGTCCCTTGCTCCAGGGGGTTCTGTCGGTGCTGAACACTTCTGGGACGGCAGCGCCCGCTCAGCCACCCAAAGCCCTTTCCCTCCCTGCTCCCCCCGCACCCTGGATTTAGGGATGCCCCCGGGAAGGGCTCGCCTGCCCCGGCCAGCGCCGTGCAGTGACCGTGACACGTGGCTCCCTTTTTATTGTACCGAACCGAACCGAACCGAACCGCCGCAGTTAATAAAGATGACTTTGGTTACTCCGGGCCAGCGGCCGCCTCCCCGTGGGGACACGGCCGGCACCAGGCTCGCCTTTCCCCGTCTACTGCCCCTTCGTGTCGGGGGGGTGGGAGTGGATCTCACCGTAGGGTAGCTGGGGGGGTCTGCAGGGCATCCCATGGGGCTCTCCCTCTGGGTACTTGCATGGATCTCCCCATGGGTTTCTCCCTGTGAGTTTATCCCCGTGGCTCTCCCCATGGGTGTCTCCCCATGATTCTCCCTGGGGGTCTTTCCCTGTAGATCACCCCTTGGGTCTCCCAGTGGCTTTCTCCACTGTGTGTCTCTCCCCGTGGCTCTCCCCATGGGTCTCTCCCCACGTGTCTCTGCATGTGGGTCTCCCATGGGTCTTTTGCAGTGTGTCTCTGCCCATGGCTCTCTCCCATGGTTTTCCCTTATGGATCTCCCCATGAATCCCCCCCGGTTCTCCCCCTCACTTCCCCCGCGGCAGCCTCAGCGGGGGCCGTTCCTCCAGCACCGCTCTGTCCGCCAGGGGGCAGCACCGCCCCGCAGGGGCCCCAGCTGGGCCGTTGTTGTCCCTGACCGGAAGAGGCGGGCGTTGGCGGCGGCGGCTGGGCCGAGGTGAGCGGGGCCGCCCGGGGCTCGCTCCGGCTGCGGCTGCGGGAGCCCCGGGGTCCCGGCGGGGCCTCTGCGGGTCAGTGCGGAGGTACCGGCGCGGCCCGCACGGTGCGGCCTTGTCCCGCCGGCGCCTCCGAGCCCGCAGGCCGCGGGAGGGCCCGGGCCCGGTTTGTGACCGCCGCTTTCCGCCCCCGAGGCAGGCGCAGCCCCGGCGCCATGTGGTCCGTGCTGTGGGCGGCCGTGCGCTCCAAGGCGCCGTACGTCACCTTCCCGGTGGCCTTCGTGGTGGGGCTGGTGGGCTACCACCTGGAGGGGCTCCTCCGCGGGGACCCGGCGCCCGCGGCCGAGGACGAGAAGAGCATCTCGGAGCAGCGGGAGGAGCGCAAGCTGCAGGAGATCGCGGGCAAGGACCTGACCAAGGTGGTGAGCCTGAAGGACAAGCTGGAGTTCGCCCCCCGCGCCGTGCTCAACAGGAACCGCCCCGAAAAGAGCTGATGCAGAGTTAATGGGGACAAACGGGAGCCCTGCAGTGACTGCCCCCGGGGCTGTCCCACAGCACCAGGCTGCGGGCCCCCCCCCGGCACATGCACGCCTTCCACACCCCCCGGCCTGCACCGTGCCTGGGCAGTGCACTGTGCCCATTGCTGCTCTGTCCCCCGCAGCCCTCCAGAGGGTCGGGGGTTGCCCTCCAGACACAGCACCCAGACCTGCTGTGGGGCAGGGTGGGCAGGGAGCCGTGCTTTGGAGGTGGAACCTGCCTGCAGCTCCCAGCCTGGCCCAGCCCCTGAAGCACAAAACCCGCTGGGCCTGGTTTCACCCACATCTCTTTAGGTTTGGTTTCTTCCGTGGTGTGAGGATGGAAGAAGCAAGGCCCTGAGTGACACGGGGTTGGGGTCAGGCTTCAGGAGGACCTGCTGCCCTGCTTACAGCTCTATTATGGCTCTTTGCAACCCCAACCACAGCACCACGCTACCGCATCACACCCCCAGGAGCCTGAGCAGCAGTGGACATCTCCAGGGAACCCCTCTCTGCTCATCCCCAGGCTTCAAAGTGAGGAAGAGGGACAGGGGAGGTGGAAGTCCTGGCCCTGCTTCCATGGTGAAGCTCTCACTGTGGTGGTGGCTTTGGGCTGGTGTGTAGAGAACAGGGACATCTCTACCCTGTATGGAAACAGCCAGAATAAACTTGTCTGTCCTTGGGCCTCTGTGTGTTCTGCACCAGCCCCTGACCCCAGCCCTGGCTTACGGTGTGCTTCCGCTCCCTCTGTTGTCAACCCCTTTGACCCTGGCAGAAATGCCATCGTTGTCCCTAATGGGCACTGACCTCAGGGCCTGGCAAGGGGGTGGCAGGCAGGAAGGGAGGGGAAGGCACCGAGATCCCAGCCTGTGCTGTGGCTGTTCCCCCTCCCAGCTCCCCAGCCACATCATTGCTTCCCCTCAGCTCCTTATCTAGACAAGAAGGGCTGTGGCAGCGGTAGGTGAGGCCCCAGGGGCCGGGCAGGGGTCCCACTGGGCTGGGCTCTGCGTGGTGGCTATCCTGGGCTGTGTGATGGTTACCCTGGGCTCTGTGTGATGGTTATCCTTGGCTGTGCGTGGTGGATATCCTGGGCTGTGTGTGATGGTTATCCTGGGCTGTGTGTGATGGTTACCCTGGGCTGTGTGTGATGGTTATCCTGGGCTGTGTGTGATGGTTATCCTGGGCTGTGTGTGATGGTTATCCTTGGCTGTGCGTGGTGGATATCCTGGGCTGTGTGTGATGGTTATCCTGGGCTGTGTGTGGTGGTTAACCTGGGCTGTGTGTGGTGGTTACCCTGGGCTGTGTGTGATGGTTATCCTGGGCTGTGTGTGGTGGTTACCCTGGGCTGTGTGTGATGGTTATCCTGGGCTGTGTGTGATGGTTATCCTGGGCTGTGTGTGATGGTTATCCTGGGCTGTGTGTGGTGGTTACCCTGGGCTCTGTGTGGTGGTTATCCTTGGCTGGGCATGGTGGTTATCCTGGGCTGTGCGTGGTGGTTACCCTGGGCTGCCTCCCAGCTTGTTTTTTCCCCTGGTGCCTGAGCGGCCTCGCTCTGCCCTGGCCCTGCCTTCCCCCCGCAGGGACGATAAATCTGCCGTGTCTGGTGCGAAGCCCTGAGGTCAGCAGCTGGGTTGCTGTTTCCCACCGCTGGGGCCGCTTCCTCAGGGCCCTGCTGACAGCTTCATGCCGGCGCTGCCTGGCCATGTTTACCTCCCGACCTGCTCTCCTCAGCTGGATCGCTGCCCTCCAGCCGGGCCCAGAGCCCGGCACCACAGCGAGGCCACAGGCCTCTGCTGTCACGGCATGCGGGGCTGGGCTGGAAGGTGCAGGAGGCTGGGGACAACAGCAAGGCTGTCCCACCTCTGCCCCACTGCTGCCTCCTGCACTAGGGCTCACCTTAGTGCCACCACCATGGTCCCCTTGGCACCGCCCTGAGGTAGCCCCTGCCCTTGGCCTCTCTCTTCCCCAGCCTGGTTGAGGGTTCCCTATTGTGCTCTGGGGTGGGAATGGTCCTGTCCCTTCCCCCAAGCTGGGACCAGCTGGACCCAGCTCGGAAACGTCTTCTCAAACGCCTTTGTTCGGCGCGCCGGAGCGGCTCCCTCGCCTGTTTATAGCCCATTGATCTGCCTGTTCCCAGGCCCGGCCGGGCACAATCGGGCTTTGTCGGGGGCTCGCTGCCCCATTTCCTCCCCTGGGCCCACGCGGTGTCGGTCGGGGGGGCTGCTCTGGTGCAGTGCCCTTGGGAAGGGCTGAGTCCCGATGGGGCTGCGTGGGCACCGATGGCATCTCACTGGAGAGCCTCTGCCCTGCTCCCTGCACCGCTGCCTGGCTGGCCCTGCTGCCTTTCCCACTGGTTTCCATGCGTCTCCCGTCCATCCCTGCGGCAGACACTGGCTGTGGAGTTCCCGTGAAGCTGCTTCCCAGAGACCGGTCGCCTTTCTCCTAAGGCCTTGGTGCCGTAAACCCACCCTTCCTCCCATTGAATCCCAACAATGTGCTGCCTGGGAAGCGCCGGCTGGACAAGAATAGGAGCCGGCGAGCGCTCAGGGCTGGGGTGAGCAGCACAGTGGATCATGAAGAGTGAGAGGAAGCTTTGCTGAATAAGCCATTATGGCAAGAAACTGCACACAGCCCCTCAAGTGCAAGTCCTTGGCCTGGTCCAGCACTTTGCAATCCAGCTGTTCCCAGCCTGGCACAGCTGGTGCTGCAGTGGCACTGCCTTGTCCCAGGCCTGTGTTCTGTGTGAGAGCATCCTCCCAGGGCTGCTCCAGCTCCTGGGGCCGGCTGCATTGTGCCATAGAGCAGGGCTGGAACCTGGCAGCTGCAGGAGTGCTGCCTGTCCCTGCCCAGCCCATGGTGGCTATGCCCAGGGCTCAGGAGCAACGAGCTGGCTCTTTAGCCCTTGTCATGGCCCTGCTGCCTTGCTGCAGCCTCCAGGCTGAGCCTCTGCCCTTCCTGGTGCTGGGTTTGCTCCTGGGGTTCCACCACAAACAGCTTGGGAGAGGTGGCGGTTTCCAAGGCAGGATGGGGCAAACCGGGGCTGTGCAGGGGTGAGCTCGTTGGGGTCAGCCCAGGGGACAGGGAGGGCTGCTGTGCAGGCAGGAGCACTGGGAGCTCTTGGCACGGCTCGGCCATGTCCGGTCAGGTCAGAGCAGGGATGCTCCAGCTGTGTGGGCTGGGACACGGTGACCCTGCGCTGGCACAAGGGCTGCTCAGAGCCAGCAAGGCCTGGAGTGATGCTGCTCTGGGGCCCGAGGGCCTCACACTCCCATGGAGCAGCGCAGTCACCCCGGAGGACCCAGGACATGCAGGCAGTTGGTGTCCCTGCAGCCCTGGGACATGGAGGGTGCTCACCCCAGCTCCACTGGAGAGCAAGCCGTGCATCCCCGTGGCCCCAGGGACATCTGCTCCCTCCCGTCCCAAAGCCGAGGCTGTTTTCCCAGGCTCCAGTTCTGCCCTTTCCATGAAGGCAGCCGAGTCCTTTCCCAGCCTCCCCGACTCGCTCATCCCTGCCTGTGCCTGTGCTCCGTGCCCTGCCTGATGGCTCCCTTCTGCAGCCAGCAAAGCCCTGAGGTGCTGTGGCAGAGGAGCAGCTTTGCTCTACACTGAGACACATCCCTGGGGACAGCTACAGTGGGACACGGCCCCTTCACACTTGGCATTGCCTCTTGCAGCCACAGCTCAGGGCTGGCTCCCCATCCCCATTGCTTTCAGGCCACATCATCCTCCAGTACCAGGAAAAGCCGCTGCAGCAGCTCCCAGTGCTGCAATGGGACAATGCCCCTGGCAGGAGCCATTCCCAGCCTGGGGTGGGCAGGGGGTGCCAGGCACCGCGGTCCCGTTGCTTCGGCACAAGGAAGCGGCTGGAGGGGAGCGACAATGTCAGGATGCGGGAAGTCATCGGGGCTATTGAGCGCGTTTCCTCCCGCCCGCGGTTCTCACACGGGGCCACGTTCATTGTGTGCCGTGCCCGCGCGTGGAGGGCTAAATATAACCCGGGCCCAGGGAGGAAGGGAGCTCTTTGGGGTTTGCTGTTCCCTCGCTCTGCACTGCTGGCAGCGGGGCTGACAGGGGCAGGGTTGTGCCTGCTTTGGTGTCGCCTCAATGGTGGGTGCTGCCGGCACGGGGTCTGTGGGTCTGTGCCCAGCTCAGGAGGATGCTCCTGCCCAACCACCCTGAGGGGCTGCAGGAAATGGGGTGCTGGGAAGCTGTGGCAGAGCCCTGGGCATGTATGGGGTGTCCAGCACTGTGTGTGTGTGGGGGACATGCTGCGGCCCTGGCTGGTATCCCCCTGCCCTGTGCCCTTTCTCCCTCTTGGACGCAGCTTTGCTCCCTTCCTGTGGCGCTTGGATTTAGGCACTTGCTGCCTTCTGTATGCTGGAAAAGCTTAAAAATAAACTGGTGCTCAGCCAGCGCCTCGGGCAGAGCCTTGCTGCGGCTCCTGACCCCAGACCACGACAGGGCTAAGGGCAGGGGGTGCCCAGCATGGACTGGGGCGCTGAGTCCAGAGCTGGGTCATGGGGTGTCCATGGGGAGCCCCTCACCGCAGCGCTCAGGCTGCCCGTGCTGTCGCAGGGCATCACGGTTCAATGCCCAGCACTGGGGTGGCGAGTGTCATTCCCAGGGAAGGACCGGAGGAGCCTGTTTACTCAGGACGGAGCTCGGAGGTGTGAGAAAGGCCGAGCCCGTCCGGCCGCTGCTATCTGTCCCCAGGCTGTGCCAAAGGCGCTGCCTGCGCCCTTATCAGCAGCAACCTTCTATTTGCCTAAGGGCCGCCTGCCTCTGGGGGGGGGCTGCTGCCAGCACCAGCCCCGCTGCAGCCCCCTCCCCGGCCCCCCCCGCAGGTGAGACCCTCACTGTTGTTGTTGGCCTGTGCCACGGGCACCGGGTCAGCGCAGCCACCCCGGGCCGCCTTGTCACAACACGGGAACAATAGCGGGACGCGGAGCCGGGTTTGCGCAGCGCCGGCGCCCGGGCACCGCGGCCAAGCAGAGGAGCTCTCGTCCCTCTTTGTTTTGCAGCTTTCCAAGCGTGATGCTCCCCGGTGCCAACACAAATATCAGCCCAGGAGAGGGCTGAGCGCACGGCCCGGCTGCGCCGTTACCTTTCACACGGGCATTTCCTCCTGGCTGGGGCTGCGGGGCTGCTCCCCGAGAGCTGCAGCTCTGCTGGTGCCTGGGGAGCACGGGGCTGCGGCCCCCTCTTGCTCTGGGGGGCTCCGGGGCATCCCCCGCAGGCAACAGCAGGAGCAGGGCAGGGTCCGTGCAGAGGGGATCTGCCCCAGCATCCTCCCGCAGGGCACAGAGGAGGGTGAGGGCTGTGCGTGCACCCCAGACCCCCCCAGGGGATGTCACCCCCCTCATCCCCAGCAGGGAGAGGAGCCAAGGGCAGGCTCTGCACCAGGGGTGCCTCCCTCTGCACTTCCTTCAGCAGCTGATGGCAGCGATATTACCCCTATCATCACCCATATTTCATTCTCTCCAGGGTATTTTTAGGCCGTCCCACCCTTGCTGAGGGGGCCCTCGGCAGAAAGCAGGCTCTGCCCTGCGCTGGCTTGGCCAGAGAACCTAAACAACAGCCCCAGCCGCATTGTGTGCCTTTATCTGTGGCTCATTTCCACCTATTATGCAGCCACGAGCGGCTCCACGGCCTCCACTGGGTTTATCTGCAGCAGAGCTGGGGCAGAGCGAGAGGGGCTGAGCTCTGCTTTGGGTCACCAGGAGCTGAATGGCCGCAGACAGACCCTGGGCTGCTGCTGGGCTCGAGGGGACGGGATGCTACAGCAGTGAGGGTTGTGCTTTCAGTGGTTGCATGGCCTTGGCATCACAGCTCCCCTTCACCCATGCCCATCCCTCATCCCCAAACCCTTACCCCTCATCCCAGAGGCAGCAGTCACATCACACATCACTGCTCTTCATTCATCCAACTTTATTCAACAAGGTACAACACTGAGTCTGCTGGGGGAAAGGAACAGCACGGAGGGCAGTGCCCACATCCCACCCTCATGCCTGGGTCACGCAGGACCTTCCCCTTTCACAGCATCGGTGGGATGCAGAGTCAGAGGCAATGCTCATGTGGCAGCAGTTGGTTCTTCCATCCCTCCCCAGCACCTCAGCCCACAGCAGGAGACGACCAGTACAAAGCAGTAAAACCAGTAACACCAAACCAGTAGTCGTGAGGCTCGTTCCTCCCCTCATAAAACCCCCACCGGGCTGAGGGGCACGCAGCCGGGCTGACAGAGCTCCCCAGGCCCCTGCAGAGCTGCACCTTTAAGGCAGAAAACTCCGTGCTCAGGCCAGCAGGTTAAAAATAACTTAGACACACGCATCCCATGGGAAAGGATCCAGGGCCAGGAGGCGCGGGGGGGGGGGGCTGGGAATTGCGCTCCCAGGGCGCCCGAGTGGTGACCCTGCAGCCATCGGGATGAGGCGGTCACTGCAGAGCCCTGCTGCTGCCTTAACCCCCCCGTGTCCCACGGGGAAGGGGCAGCTCCTGCAGCAAACCCTGGCCAGGAGCCACTGGTCCCAGCTCCAGGGTGACAGGAAGGGGCTGGTGGCCAGGACCCTCAGGCAGCGCTGCCCCGGCCCTGCCAGGCTCCAAGCAGAGGCTGGAGGTGAGCGGCTTCCCACGGCCACACGCTTGGATCTCCCGGTGCTGGCGGCGGCTCCAGAGAGCCCCAGGGTCCGGCCAAGCGCAGCTCCTAAAGGGCAGCATCCTCCCGCCATGGCCCCGGGGACAGGCTGTTCCCAGCCGCGGGGCTCCAGGGATTTCGCCCTTTCCCACGGCGCGGCGTGTGGGACGCGGTGTCCCGGGGAACGCTGCGCAGTTTCCTTCCTTGCAGGGTCCAGTGGGGAAAACAGGAGGGAGCAGAGGCTCCGCTCCAGGGCACTGCTGAGCCCCAAGCCCGAGCACCGCGTCCCGTGGCAGGCAGGTCAATGTGGGCCTGGGTACCGCACAGCACCAGGCAGGAGGCAGCTCCTGCCCATGGCCAGCACCTTCAAGGCACAAGGGGCCAAGGAATGTCCCCCCCCGGGCGGCCAGGGCCAGCCTGGCTCTAGACATACTGCTTCTTGGAGGCTGAGCTCCCGGGCCGGCTGCTCAGTTTATCCTCTGGGATGGGGGCGTCGGCAGCCCTGGGGGCATAGGGGTCTGACAGGGGTCTGCTGCTGCTGCCCAGCGCCAGGTTCTCCTCGTTGTGGAAGTTGGCCCAGTTCTGCTCGCTGGAGAGCTTGTTGAAGGCCTGGTAGGACGGTGTGTGGCTCTCGGCCATGGGCAGGAAGGGGTAGTGCTTGTGTGGGTAGGCACCTGAGACCATGTCACTGGCGAAGGCATCCCGGCTTGGGATGGCTGGGTCCGACACCTTCTTGATGTTGCTAAGCAGGTTCTTGCAGCAGAGGTGGAAGAGCTCCAGGAGGTTCAGGATTAAGGAGATGAGGCCCATCACCAGCATGAAGATGATGAAGATGCTCTTCTCGGTAGGGCGGGAGATGAAGCAGTCCACCTGATGCGGGCAGGGGTCCCTCTTGCACACATAGCGGGGCACCATGGAGAAGCCGTACAGGTACCACTGACCAACAAGGAAGCCAGCCTCAAAGATGCTCTTGCAGATCACACTGGTGATGTACGTCCACATCAGCGCCCCTCGGATCTTGAGCCTCCCATCCTCCGACACATAGATCTTGGACATCTTCTTCTCTATGGCTGCCAGTGCCTGCTCGATCTTTGGGTCCTTGCTGTGGATAGCCCGGAGCTCACTCTCCTGTTGCTTCAGCTTCTCCTCCTTCCGTGAGAGATAGACAACATGGCCCAGGTAAACCAGGGTTGGGGTGCTGACAAAGAGGAACTGGAGCACCCAGTAGCGGATGTGGGAGATGGGGAAGGCTTTGTCATAGCAGACGTTGGTGCACCCGGGCTGCTTGGTGTTGCACACAAAGTCCGACTGCTCGTCCCCCCACACAGACTCCCCAGCCAAGCCCAGGATGAGGATGCGGAAGATGAAGAGCACGGTGAGCCAGATCTTCCCGATCACAGTCGAGTGCTCCTGGACTTGGTCCAGCAGTTTCTCCAGGAACCCCCAGTCACCCATCTTCTATGGAGCCTCCTGCCTCTGCCGATGGAGAGGGGAGAGGGGCCAAGTCAGTGCTCTGTTTCCGTGCTGGAGAGCACAGATGGGGCCACCTAAACCCCTCAGGACACTGCTCTGCACAGGGGCCCAGCAAACCCACTGAGGAACATCCCACCCCCGAGGGATGGAGCTGGGTGCAGGAGTGCTCCTCCTGCACCCCACTGCCCAATAGGGAAACACGGGGCTGGGGGGCAACAGGCAGCACAGGGACTTACCTCCTCCAGCAGCACTCAACCCACAGCACCTGTGGTTTGTGGCTGTCCTGACCTCCCGGGGGACATCCCACAGCAAAGGGCTCATTGCCTTTTCGGTTTGGGGCTGCCCCAGGTGCCCACAGCACCCAGAGAGGGGGCACAGCAGGGGCACATTTGCCTCTCTTACAGCCCAGCTTTACCAAAGGGCAGAAAGCAGCAGGGGGGCAGGAGGGGAACCGCAAACCCCGGGCTACAGCAGCCACCCCAATGCCTATTCAGGGCTCACCCCAAACTGAAGGGTCACCTCCTACGCAGCTCCCTTTCCATGGGGCAAGGACACCCCAGCCCCAGAGCCTTGCCCACACTCACCGCACAGACCCGCTGCTGCTCCGGGCCCCTCGGGCTCCCCCGGGCTGCAGCGAGCCCAGCCCGGCTGGGGAAGCTGGGAAGCGGCCGCAGCCCCAGCTCCTGATGAAGCGGGCAGAGGTGCCCGCTGCGCCGCTAAAGGGGCGCCCGGCAGCGGTGGGTACCGCAGGCACAGGGCTCCCAAGCGGTGCCCGGTGCCCCGAGGGGGTCCCCGGCGCCGTGCACTCACCTCCGCCGCTCCGGGCAGTCCCGCCTGGCTCGGGCCGCGCTGGGTGTTTGCGGGGCGGCTCTGGCCGTGCGGGGCCCGGGGGAGCCGGGGGAGGAGCGCGGGCAGGAAACAGGGGCCGGGGCTTAGCGCTGGGCCGCAGGTGCGCGGGGCCGCCCCGTCCCCGCTACCCCCGGGGGGCGGCCCCCACGGGGCGGGTCCGCGGAGCTCCGGACCCGCAGCACAGCGGGGACCGTCGGGGCCGAAGCCGGTGGGGTCGGCGGGGGCCCGCGTGTCCCGGAGCGCTCGGCCCCGGCTGCGGCTCCGCCTGCGCCCGTCGGGAGGGACCCATCGCGCTGTACGGACCCTGAGCGGGTGACCCCAGCGCTCGCAGTCCCGGGGGTTGCGGCGGGGCGTCCCCGCGATGCTCCGCTCCCTGCCCGCTCCGGCAGCGGGTCCGTGAGGCGCGACGGGCGCTGGGTGGTGCTGGAGCCCCATCGGAGCCCGGGTCTGGAGCGGGGCTCTGCTGTCGCGGGGCTCGGACGGGGCGCTGCGGGGGTGCGGAGGCCCCGTAACACGGAGGTGGGGCAGCGAGGGGGGAGTGCTGCTGTTTAATACGCAGGCTTCAGTCCTGCTGGCTTCGGGGGTGCAAAACCCCTGCGTATGCCCCCACTCGGTGTCCTGCAGAGCTGCAGAGGGCTTGGCACAGGCTGTGGGGACCTTGGACTTGCCTATTAGACCCAGAAACTAGGCCAGGCTGCGCACACAAGTGGGAGTTGCCACCTCTCCCACACCAGGACGTGGCATTTCCTCCTCAGACAGTGTCAGGGCTGGACCAGCGTCCTGACACTTAATAACTGCCACCCTTGAGGAATGCCCATGTGCTGCTCCGTGACACCAGGGTGCTGCAGAATCCAGCCATCCCACTGCGAACGCCACTTCCCCTCCGCCATTCCTCAGTGATGCCCTGTGCCCCACGAGCCCTCGATGGGTGGCAATGTTCACCTCTGAGGGGCTGTTCCAAGAGCACAAAACCACTCACGGGGCTGGGGCCATGAGCAGAGCTGGACACACGGCTGAGCGGGCACCAGCAGCCCCTGCTGCTTAAGGAGAGATTGAACGGAAAGCATTGCTATTTATTGTAATATTCATCAAGGTTTAGTAAATAATTGATGCTGATCCCTCCTTGATTTCCTTGGGGACCAGCGTGCGGTTCTGGGTGAATTGGAGTTTAACGACGCGTGACAAGCCAGGAGGAGGCAAGGATGGACACCGGGCTCAACCCACACTGCTGCGGGTGGGAGAGGGGGACCCAGCTGCACTCTCCTGGGGAACCTCTGCAAATCCATTTCTTCTGCCCTCACCAGTCCCTCCAGTTAACAGCGCACAAAGCAGATCCCAGTGCCCATAAACAACACATTTATTGGCCTTTTGGATCCATAGCTCATATTGTGTGTGACATCCGTCCAAGGTGAAGGGGGATGCAAAGGTATCGAGGGAAGCAGCAGAGCCAGAGAGGGCATCTGGGTAGGAAACCAGCATGGTGCTTGCATGAGCAAAGGGGCCTGGTGTCCTGCCCCAGTACTGGCCAACAGGGCAAATGGGGCCAACCAAGCCCTGCTCCTCCGTGATTCCTCTGGTGCATGAAGAGGGCTCTGGCCATGGCGTTGAGCTCAGCATCTCTTTAGGGCATTGCTGTGATGTCCAAGCCCCGTGGCACCACCGCGAGCAGCAAGGCCAGCTCCAGGGCTGCCCTCACCTTACCTGCATCTGCTCAGCCATACAAGGGCCTCTCTTGGGGGACTTTAGTCGTTGGGATCAGTCATTTCTTGCACCTTGAGGGTTCAGGGACTTGGAGGCTTGAAAAGCATCTGGGCCATGGGGAGGCGAGGCGGCTGGGATGGGCTTGCTCACAGCTCCTCTCCTCTGCGGGAAGAACAGACACCCTCAGGCATGTCCATGGGCAGCCAGCACCAACGTCCCTGTGCTGCTGGCACAGCCGGAACGTGCCCATAGTCCCAACCAGGAGCTTTCCCATGGATGTGTCCCCCTCCCCTTACAGCCATCGAGGTCCCACCATCCCTGCACACTCCTCCCTCCCTCCGCCCTCCCAGCAGCCCATCAGACAGCATCGAGGCTGGGAGCTGAGGCCCGCAGGGCGGTCACACACCTCGTCTGGCACTTGTTGTCCTTCTCCTCATTCTTGAGGTGGCAGCGGCACGTGGAGGCCTTGCTGTAGCTGACCGAGTGCTTGGTGGACTTCTTCCACCTCCGCGCACGCCGCACAACCCGCTTGAAGATGAGGTAGAAGATCTCACAGACGGTGAGGACGATGCAGATGGAGGACGCTCCGACCATGAAATAAGTGAAGACTCTTTTCTCGGTCGGCCGAGCGATGTAGCAGTCTACAATGTTGGGGCAGGGGTCCACGTTGGAGCACTTGACCAGCCGTGGCAAGTCGAAGCTGTCCCACATCTTGTGGAGGAGGTAGAGGAACAGGATCTCTATGATCAGCTTGAAGAAGAGGCTGAGCAGGTAGGTCCACCACAGCCCGCCGTGCTTCTTGCCCGTGTTGCTGTAGAGCTTGGGGCAATCCTCCCCATTCTTCTCCCGGTTCTTCTTCTCGCGGTCCTCCCTGTAGGCCACGTGCATGATGACCAGGAGGGAAGGACAAGTGACAAAGATGAGCTGCAGGGCCCAGAGGCGGATGTGGGAGATGGGGAAGAAGTGGTCATAGCAGACGTTGGTGCAGCCCGGCTGCCGCGTGTTGCAGTCGAAGTCCTTCTGCTCGTCCCCCCACACGCGCTCGGCAGCCACCACGTAAACCAGCACGCGGAAAACAAAGACCACGGAGAGCCAGATGCGGCCGAAGGCTGTGGAGTACTTGTTGACCCCACTGAGCAGCGCCTGCAGCGTCTTCCAATCCATGGTGCCTGATGGAGAGCAGAGTCACCCAACCTGGAGAAACCCCAGCAGAAGCAGTGGGTGAAGAGCAACGGGGGCACCTCATCATTTGCTACGCTTCATTCTGCCCCCGCTGGGCTCTGTCCTGGGTCTGGGATGTGGGGACAGTCCCACCCGCAGACAGTGAAGCCCATCCCCACACCCCTCCGGTGGTGGAGGTGACTCAGCCTCTCTGCACTTCCGTCTGACAGAGCCTTTGCCGTAAGGGATGAGCCACGCGGCCAAGAGCCTGTCACCACATCCAGCCTGACTGCGTGTGATGGTGTAAACTGGCAGCATGCTCCACTGGAGCAGGCCAGGATCAACAGGGAGAGGCCGTGCCCAGGCAGCAGGCGGGGGGAGCTTGGCATTCCAGCAAAGCAAAGGTCTGTGAGTACCCCATGTCCCATGGGCCAGGGTGCGAGGGGACCCTGCAGCACATTTCCATCCCCAACTGCATCTTCATTCTCCCCCACTGCCTGCAGGCGCATGGGCTGGTGCCCACCAGGATGGTCCCCAGTGCCTTGCCAGCCCCCTTCAGCTTCCCAGCACTGAGGCACAGGGTCAGTGGTTGCTTCATGTTCCTCTTCCATGGTGGGAAGGATGGGGGCAGCGGGAGCCCCCTGGAAACCCACCCTGGCATGGGAAGGGCTGAGCTGGCTCTCCATGGGTGCAGCACCAGACCAGCAACGCACCCCAGCACACTCCCCTGCACAGCCAGCACCAGCACATTGTGGGGATGGATGCGGCCCTCTACCATTATGGAGATCCCATGGGATCCCAGCTGGTCCCAGCCTTCCCTGAGCCTCAGATTCTCTGTGGGTGCAGGTACAAACCAGCGGCTGTGCTTTGCTAACGCCAAGAGGTGAAGGGGCAGCGGCTGCTGGGAGACACCAGGGACTCGAGTTTGCTGCCGCAGGTGATGCCCGAGGCAGCCGTGCATGGATGAGAATGGGGCTGCTGAAAGCGAGAGTCCATGCATGTCACCAGTGTGTCACCAGCACGTCCCTGCCCCGGCAGCACCGCCAGCGGCCCCGGGGCCCCGCGCCGGCCAAACCAGCTCCACAGCTCAGCCTGGGGCTCCCCAGTGCAAGGCTTTAACTGGGACCCGGAGCGCTGCTGCTGCCTGGATCCATGAGCCCGGGCGGGTTTCAGCCAGGGCTGCGCTGGCAGCTCCTCACCGGCTGTAAAGGTGCCTCCCCTGGCACAGGGCTTCAGAGCCAGGCTGGGTCTGACCCTGCTTCTGAGGAGCTGAGGGGTCCCCGCTGCCACTGACATGAGCACAGGGGGTTGCAGTGTAGGGGTGAAGAGCAGAGCAGAGCAAGTTGAGGCCAGGGCCCGGGAGGTGGCACCGGGGCTGGCAAATGCTTCCAGTGGGAACATGTCCCAGGCACCACCAGATCAAAGGCCTCATTCAACCCCAAGCGCTAATTCCTTCCGTCCCAGCTACTCAGGTCAAGCAGCACCGTGTGCTCACACAGAATCACAGAACCATGGAATGGTTTGGGTCAAAGGGACCTTAAAGCTCCTCCAGCTCCAACCCCTGCCACGGGCAGGGACCCCTTCCACTGGAGCAGCTTGCTGCAAGCCCCTGTGTCCAACCTGGCCTTGAGCACTGCCAGGGATGGGGCAGCCACAGCTTCTCTGGGCACCCTGTGCCAGCGCCTCAGCACCCTCACAGTAGAATTCCCCCTCCCATGGAGCTGTTGCCCATTGCCCACCCGGTGCCCCCCAAGTCGTACCTGGAAGGGGCTCAGGCTCCTTCCTGGCTCACCAGGGGCTCTGTGCTGGGCAGTGCCCAGCGCGGGGCATGGCCGGGGTGCGATGGCACAGGGGTGATCACGGTGCTGTCGTCCGGGGAGTCCTGGGGCTGCAGGGAAGGAACAGAGCCTGGAGCACTGCCTGGAGCCTGCGGGGCTGCTCGGGAGCCCCTGCTTTCCCCTCCTCAGCCAAAAGCCCGGAGTCCCTGCACAGCCCCAGGGTGAATGCCCCCTCGCCAGCCAATTCCCCCATGCCCATTCCTAGGGCCACCCCTGATACCCAGCACCCATCTGCCCTGGTACCCACGTGCCTGGCTCAGTCCAGTGCCAGCTCCAGCCATGGACCCGCGGCAGCGCAAGAAGGGGTTGGGAGCTCCATGCCCAGCCCCATGCCGGTGCGTGCTGTGTGCCCCACGGAGCACACGGAGCAGGGACAGCGCTCCCGGTGCACTGGGCTCTGTGGGCAGCACTGATTTGCCTCCCGGGGAGCCCAGCACCATCACCAGCCCCTGGTGTGCCAGCCCCCTGCGTCACCAATGGGTGCCGGGTCCTGCCCCGCGTGGGTGCAGGGTGCGGGGCTGAAAGCGCCCAGCTCCTGCCTGGGGTGCAAGCGCAGCACCTTTAGGGGGGGCTCAGCCCTTCTCAGCCCCTGGGGATAACGGTGGGACAGAGGAGTGAGGCCTGGGGTGGCCATTCCTGCTCCTTGGGCCATCCCCCTGCATCCCCCCCTCACCCGGGTGTGCAGCCCCACAGAGCAGTGGCCCCAGCACTGTCGGTAGGGTCCCGATGGGCACTGTGCAGTACTGGGGTCCCTGCAGGCGCAGCAGCCCCAGCCATAACACAGCTCCCACCATCACCGCCTTAGCACCATGGGAGCTGTCCCCCCTGGGAGCACCCTGGAGGTACCTGCCTGGCCGGCAAAGGGCCAGAGGGAGGTGGTCGGATCCGGGATCGGAGCAGGGGAGCTCTTCCCTGTCGGCGTTGCCTGCAGCCCTCCTGCGTGCCCAGGCTGTGTCCGCGGCGCTGAGCGTGCGGGCAGGGAAGGGTGGTTTGTTCTGTTCCCAGTAACTGGGTGAGTCTGGCAAACAGCTCCCGGAGAGGCTCTCGTCGGCGCACATGCACACACACGTTCAGGTTGAACAATAAAGGCGGGTCAGCTCCTGCAGAGAGAGCGACGGGGCCGGATTCCTCCACAAGCAGCACTGGCAGCTCCTGCCCAGGTGATGCTCAGCCCCCTGCACGGGTGGCTCTGGGCGCAGCGAACCCTGGGCAAGAGCAGGGCAGCTGGGGGCTGACCCCGGGCTCGCAGCAATCCCCCAGCTGCAGTCAGGCAGCACCCACTGCTAAGAGCCACAGGTTACGCAATCACAACCCACTTTATGCATTACTTTTGCCTTAGTAATAGTTTTGCAACAGCTCATCGGTATCTCCAACCTACAGCACCCTGCAGCCGCCGCCCCGCTGGCACCGGGCTGTCCTGGATTAGCCCTCTCCCGACCCGTGGCACAGAACGGCTGTCAGCCCATGGGAGCAGCGCTCCCACCCAGCAGGACCCTGCCTCCTGCCGCATCCTCACGGGACCTGGATGTGTCCCTGCAACGGAGATCCCGACCCTCTCCCCAGAGCCTCCCCCTGTGACAGCCCCATCTCCTACCCCATGGCCTGGCCAGGAATGTGTTTCGTCTCGCCCGGTTCACCCGGCCAAGCACACAAGCACACTCGGGGCTTTCCCCGGTGCTGCACTGGGGCCCCCATCCCATGGCGATGCGCTTGAGGAGCCCCGCCGGGTGCCCTGAGGGCTTTGCTCCCTGTGCTCGTGGCACACAAGGAGCCGCTTGGGTTCGCTGGGCTGGGAAGGGCAGCAGGGAGAGGCCGCAGCAATGGGAGCCCAAGGGACCCAAAGCAAACACTCACGGGAGCGTGGGTGCGGAGCAGGGTGAGCCCGGAGGAGCGGGCACCCAGGGACCCTTAATGGGAGCTGCGGAGCCGGGAAGCAGGAACCTGCCCTGACCCCGAGTGCCTGTGCCCGCTCCTATCGGCAGCATCAGGAATGTGAGCTATGCTGCGGGGAGCGGGAGCGGGCGGCCGGAGCCTGGGGGCTGCGGCTCTCGAGCTGAAAGCCCAGGGGAGGGGGCAGACACCGGGAGCCATCGGCGGGGCCGGGTGCCCGCAGGGGCAGCAGCTCCCTGCCCCTGTAAGGAGGAGGCGAGGAGCGGGGCCGGGTGCCTCCAGCAACCTCTGGTCTCCAAGTCTGGAATTTCAGGGGAGGCCACGGGGAGAAAGTTCGGGTGTCCTGGCAAGGGCAGGAGAGCTTCCCTGGGGCAGCAGGGTGGGAAATGGAAACACCCGCTGTTTGTTTTGCAGCGCTGAGCAGGGGATTTGGGCGTCCCAGCAAAGGGCAAGTCCCGGTGCCTCCCCTCCCACCCCTCTGATGAGTGATCCGGCGTGGGCACGGGGGCAAGGTGCCAGCGTGGTTCAGCAGCTCTCAGCACCGGGGAGCCCTCAGAGGAGCTTTGGGTCCATGACCAGGGTCCAGCACCCTGCTCCACCCCGGTGGGTGCCGGGGGAAAGGCTTCGGTGCTGGATGTGATCCCTGCAGCACCCGGTGACTTCCCATGGCCTGACCCTGGGTCCTCCATAAAGGAAAATCCCAAGCAGCGGAGCAGGCGGCTGCCAAACCAGCAGGGAAGCCTCAGAGTCTCTTTAAAAGGGTCTTAAATGGGGCACCCCTGGGTCAGCCACTGGCCGGGGCAGGAGCCAGCCCTGCCTTTATCTCCAGCAGCATCCCATCCATCCCGCTCCAGGGCTTTGCGGTGTGGCTGCAATGCTCGCTCCAAGTGAGATAAAGCAGCTCAACAACAGATGCAACTGGCTCATCAGGTCTCTCAGAGTGGGCAGCAGCTCCTGCTGCCACTTTGATGTGCAGAAGCAGGGCAGGAGGGCAGGGTGGCTGCTCTGGTCTCACCTCTGCTGCCATCAGTGCTCGCAGCTGGGGAACACCTCGGGGTTTTGCTAATTGAGGACAGGCTTGATCAAGAGCAGGCTTGAAAACAAGCAGCCCAGCCCTAGCTCTCTGAACCAGAGGCAATGGCTTGCACACAGAGGACAGCTTCTACCCTCAGATGTTAAAGGCTTTAATAAAGGAAGTTTTCATGTGGCAGTGCTCAAGGCCAGGTTGGACACAGGGGCTGGGAGCAAGCTGCTCCAGTGGAAGGGGTCCGTGCCTGTGGCAGGGGTTGGAACTGGGTGGGCTTTAAGGTCCCTTCAACCCAAACCAGCAAGCACAGCAGTGAAATGGCCAGAAGGAAGGCAGAGATCAGCACAGCTTCACTTGAAAAGAGATGGAAGGAATCTGCCTCTAATTCATGTCTCCAACCCACTGGTGTCAGCGTGCCCGAGGGTCCCAGGGATCCTCCCAGGGCTCCTCAGCCATCCCCACCCTTGTGGGGCAGCTGGTCCAGTCCCTGTCCTCCCATCCGGATGCTGCAGCCCTGCCTGCCCTCAGCATCCTCCTTCAGCACATCCAGGCTGGTTCCTTTCCCCCGGGTGGGCTGTGGGAAGGAGCCCAGCTCTGCCCCGTGAGCCTTTCCAGGGGCAGCTGGTTCATGGGGTCAGGCGTGCTGCAAAGCGGCAATGACCGAGAGCACCCTGCTCCAAAAGGATGCGGCGATGGCAGCCCCATCCCACGTCCTTCCCAGCAGAGAAAGCAAATGCTCAGGGAAGAAAATAATAATCACCTCTTCTAAATAAAGCGAATCCAGCAACAGCTCGAGCTGCGTGTTCAATGTTCATGTTACTTACGAGTGCATTTGCCATGAAATTATTGTTAATTATTCATCCCAGCTAATGCTCAGTTACCGCTGATGGCCTTAAATGGCAGCGCTGCCTGAGTCATGGCAGAAGGCGACATACTACAGCAATAAACAAGATCATATTCTGCCATTTAATGTTATTGTTTAATCAATGGTTGGGGTGGTTTTCCTCTCCTTTATTCGGGTGTTTTGCTCAGGTGTTTCCTCTGGCCAGGCAGGAAGAGCCAGCAGCCCACGGCAAGCCTCACCCTGCACCACAATGGTGCCACAATGAACACGTGCTCTTGTCCCCACTCAGTTAATGAGTGTTATTAATGACGATCACATCAGTCTCAAATGGTCCTGTGGTGGGGCTCGTGCAGGGTGAGGGATGGGGACAGGGGCTCCCGGGGGGGGCTCAAGCCCTCACTGCCCCTCTTCCCTCTCCATCACCTCCGCCCCGGTTTAAGACTTGTGCCATGTTGAACCTGTCCCACAGCCGCAAAGGGCTCTGCCACCCATGGCTCCTTGGGGTCGCTCCCACCCCTGGGTGCGCCTGCCTGCGCCCAGCAGCCCGTTTGAAATCCAGAATTCACATATTCATTGTGAAGCCTGGGGTTACAGGGAGGTAACGACGGCCGCTGCCTTCTGCTTGCCTGCAGGCAGAGCCTGCTGACCACAGCCAGGGTTTGGCTGCTGCTGGGCACAAGGACGAGCCTTGGTTTGTCACCGCTGCTCCAAACCCATGGAGCTGCCCATGGCAGCGATGCCTTTCCAGGGCTGGATGCTCTTCGTTTATGACCCAAGGATTATGCCCAAGGAGCAGGAGAACTGTGCTGGCCATCACTTCTGAGGGATAGGAATTTCTATTCATTGCAAGGACATCCCCAGGACCAGCTCAACCTCGGGGTACTGCTGCCAGTCACAGAGCTGCTTGTCCCTGTGGGCTCCTGGGGACTGCACGTGTCCTACAGGACCTGGCTGTACCCCAAGTTCAGCAGAACAACACAACGTGCCCTGCCCAGGACGGAAGAGACAGAGAGCCCTTGGGCACAGCCTGAACCCGAGGTGCTGCCACCCCAGTGCTCCTGCACCAGTGGGACGGAGGAGGAGGAAGAGGAAGAGAAGGGGGATGAAGGCGCACGGCTCATAGAGCTGCCCAAGGGATGCTCTAGGGAAGAGTCTCCTCCTCGGGCGGTTGCTCAGGGCTGGAGGCCGTGGGGGGGATGGAGGCAGTGGGGGGTTTGTAGTCCACCCCATGGAAAACCTGCCCCTCCATGCCCGCGGGCTCGGCGCTGGACGGTGAGCAGGCCTGGCTGTCCCCGCTGCCGGCCAGGACGCACTCGCGGCACCGCTTGCCAATGAGGTAGGTGGCCTCGATGAGGCTCAGCAAGATACAGATGCAGGTGGTGACCACCATGAAGAGGGTGAAGATGTTCTTCTCGGTGGGCCGGGAGATGAAGCAGTCCACCATGTTGGGGCAGGGGGCCAGCTCGCACTTCACCAGCCGGGGCAGGGTGTAGTTCCTGTACAAGTGGTAGAAGATGTAGAGGAAGACCACGTCCACGCCGGCCTTGAAGACCAGGCTGAGCATGTACGTCCACCACAGCCCACCGTGCTTCTTGCCGGGGTTGGGGTAGAGGCAGCGGCCATCGTCCCCACCGGCAGCGCGGTGCCTCTGCTCCTTGGCCTCCCGGTACGCCACGTGCATGATGACGAGCAGGGATGGACAGGTCACCAGGATGAGCTGCAGGGCCCACAGGCGGATGTGGGACACAGGGAAGAAGTGGTCGAAGCAGACGTTGGTGCAGCCCGGCTGCCGCGTGTTGCAGTCAAAGTCCTTGTGGTCGTCGCTCCAGACCCGCTCGGCTGCCACCACATAGACCAGCAGGCGGAAGATGAAGACGAGGGAGAGCCAGATGCGGCCGAAGGCTGTGGAGTATTTGTTGACCCCACTGAGGAGCCCTTCGAACAGATCCCAGTTCATGGTCCCCCGGTCCTGTTAGCTAGCCTGGGCGGAGAGAGAAGATAGGTGAAGGATGGTCTTCAGCATCCCTTCCAGCCCTAACCATCCTATGATCCAGTGACACCAAAGAAGCGGCAAGAAGTCCCAGCCAGAACACCCATGTGCCCCAAAGCACTGAGCCACACTCCTGCCTGGCTGGCCTTGGGGACACACACAGACATGGGTTGCACACACACAGACACATGCTGCAGCTCAGACCTTGTCTCTGCAGAGCACCATCCCCTTCTGCGTGCTCACTGGTCACGGGGGCCTGGCAAAGCTCGATGGCTCTCCAGTGGCAAGAGCATCCTTCACCACCAGCTGCGGTCCATGCGAGCCCTCTGCCATCCTGAAAGGTGACCTTTAAAGCTCCCTCCCAGCTCCCACTGTTCCGTGGGTCTGCCCTGCGCCCGCCCCGTCCCTCGCCTCGCTGTGCAGGTATTTGTTATGAATCCTCCTCGCGTTGCCAGGCCTGGCCCTGGCAGACACCAGTGGGAGCAGCTGGGGCGTGACGCACCCGGAGCTCAGCGGCTCCTCTCCCATCGCTGGAATCTGCCATCGCCTCCGCTCCCGCCCGGCAGCGCGGGAGGATCCCGGTGCCGACCTGCGCCAGGCACAGCAATGCGGGATGCACAAGAACCGGGTTTCATCAGCTCAGACCCATCTCAGCCTGCACCAGGACCCCAGGCAGCCGAGCTGGCCCTGGCCTGCATCGTGCTGGATAAGGGCACCTCAGGCGGTGGTGGGGCCGCAGCTGGGTGGGATTCCCAGGGCTGGATTTGGCACTGGCTCTCCTTAAACATTTTACCTATCAGTAAAACAATGAGACTTCCCCTCACCGGCCCGGCTCCTGCGGTGAAACCATCCCAGTGCTCGGCACAGCCCGTCCCATGCAGCCACGCGCTCCCCAAGCACACAGCTCCTGCCTCACTGGCTGGATCCCGGGACGCACACACGCAGAGCCCACATTTCTCCTTCCCCACACACACTTCCAGACGTGCCCATCACCGTCGGGTCGGGCTCTGCAGTGTGCCCCTCACCAGGGCCGGGGGGTTCATGCCGCTTACCTGCGGGGTGCCCTGCACCAAGGCCGGTGCTGTCGGTCCTTGCCCACAGCAGGATCGCATCGCCCGGTGCATGCGAGCGGTGCCAGCGCCACGTGAGTCATCCCTGGGCTCCTGAGCGAGGAGGAGATTCCCAAGGGGGAAGGGATGAGGCTGGAGGCAGATCCCACGTGTCCTGTAGGCTGTCAGAACCCCACGGGTGAAAGGGCTGCCCCGCAGCGCCCAGGGTCCAATCCTGCTGCTGTGCAGGGAGCGGCTGCATCTGCTGCCCTGCGCTGCCTGGGGTCCCCCAGCCCTTCCCTGCTCCCTTTCCCTTGCTCGGACCTGCAGGGATGATGTGGCCAAAGCCTTGGGAGCCCCAGGCACTGGGAGCCGCTCAGCCAAACACCTCCCTTCATAATCCCATTTTACACAAACTTTGCACCATGGAGGTGATTTACAAAGAGCCTTTATCCCTCCCCGCCTCCTCCTGGGGGGGAAATTCATTCATCACTTTTCCTCTGCTCCCGTCCCCTGCAAGCTGGGGCAAGTCACCTGTATTGCACCCCATCACTCCATCCCTGTCAGCGGGCCCAAGAGCCAGCCCCCAGCTCAGGGAACCCCCTCTTTGAGGCCTGACCCCCAGCTCGCAGCTCTGGGGTGCAGCAGGGAGCAGGGTCCATGGAGTGGGTGCTGCTGTGTGGGGTGCAGGAGCTCAGGGACAGCAGGAGTCACCTGAGGAGCAAACACGCGCTTGGTCTGCAGTTCCGCTGGGTTTGGGAGCAAAAGTGATGGAGAGAAACAAACCCAACCAGCTGTAAAGTAAATGAGCGCTGTTTGCGGATGGCTCCGGGGGAGAGCTCTGCAGTTTGAAATCAAACAGGCCTGGGTTTAGTTATTTATTATAACACGTCTGTGCCGAGGGCTGTGTCCCCCCATGGGGCAGGCATTGGAGGGGGCACGGAGCAGCACCCAGTGCTGGGTGGGGGGGATGTTCTGGCTTGTGGGTGTCCAAAGGGGGTCTTGTGGCTTCCTGCATTCTGGGTTAAGATCCCCTCCTCTGGGGAGCTGCCAGATGTGATGGGCAGGGCCTGCTGGCGTTGGGCTGCAGGTAGAGCACACCTCATCCCTCCCCAGCCCTCCAGTGAGTGTGGGCACAGCCACGGCATCCCCTGGTCCCCGTGCCCTGCCCTGCTCTGACAGCAGGACGAGGAGGTGAGCGCCACACAGCTTCCCTCCATGTCCCGCTGGTCCAGCTGAGCCGATGAGGAGAGCAGCCCCCATCTAGCAGGCAAAGACCTGGGGGAGGCACAAACTGAATCAAGAGGGAGAGGAGAAGGAAGAGGCTGCTCTGGTGCAGACAGGGCTGACACCAGCCACTGAGAGCCCAACAGGAGCAGCCCATGGAGCATCCTCTGCTCTTGGGCTGGTGGGCACTGAGCTCCTGCGGCCAAAGCTTCCATCCCACTGCTCACCTCAGCTGGGGATTTTGGTTTGGCAGGGGCAGAAGAGGGGTGCTGAAGGCTGCACCCTCCACCAGGCAAACCCAGCCAGCCCATGCGAGTCCATGGTGCTGGGGACGTGGAGGTGTATTAATGGCAGCACTTTATCTTCCAGGAACAAGCCCCATTAGTACATTTTCACTACAACATGAAATATTAATAACGCTTTGCATTTATATAGCGTCATTCATCCAGGAGTCACCAGCCAAGCTCCTGACATGAATCAAACACCACAGCCCGCTCCGGAGGAGGCAGGTGAATAGGATTATACCCATTTTCCTGCAGTGCACACCGAGGCACAGGGATTCCTCCATGCCTGTCATGGGTGAGACCACCAGCACTCTTTTGCCCTCTCTCAGAGGATGCCACCTCTCTAAAGCCATGGGGACACCTACCCTGCATGGGGCATCTCCATCTGGCCCACGTGCTCTGCGGGGTTTTGCTATCATCAGGCAAAAGCTGCTGTGGAAAAGCAAAACACTTCCTTGGGCCGCTGGCATGTGCCTGTTTCCTGGGAGGTTTTGGAATGGCAAGAGAAGTTTGGTCACTTTGTGAAATAACAGTGAAACCAACAAACCAGCCATGATAATAATAATAGCTCCTTTTGTCCTCTGGTCCCGTCCTTGCCAGGCTTTGCAGATGTGAAGCACAGCAAACCTTGCGGCTCCTGCAGGTTCAAAGGTAGGAGATGTGGTTTACATTTGTGCTGCGAAGAGGGAGGAAGCTTTAGGACCAAACACACGTGGAGAGGAGCAGCAGGAGCCAGCGCCACGCTACTGATACTGCGCTGATGGTGCAGGGGGGAGAAGCTCGGAGCGGTTTGGAAACCTGTGAGCCCACAGCCACACGAGCCCTGACACAACCCCAGGGCTGCTGCGGCAAGAGCGAGCAGGCAGGAAAGCGCTGGGGAGAGGGCTGTTTACATCTTATTAAAGAGCCTTATATTTAAATCCTCCTTCAGACGTGTAGCACAAGATGATTGCAAAAGCTTTCATACACTAACTCAGCAGGAATCGCTTCTGCTGCCGGTGATGTCGCACGCAGATGCTGGTTAGCAGGGCGGAATCCCATTATTGATGCTGAATAAATAGAGAAACCCAGGTCCTGGGTGAAGTTCAGAGCGGGTGGGGAGCAGGGAAGCGCTGCCCCGTTCCCCGTGCCCAGGACCATTATTATTATGCAAAGGAGGTGGCACCTTGTTTGCAGGTAATTAAAACCCCCCCAAGAGATCAGTGAAAACGAGCAGAGGCAGAGGGGGGCTCAGCTGCTGCAGCAGGATGGAGAGCTCCATGCCTGGGTCAGCCCCTTCCAGCCACCAGCCCGTGGCTCCCCGCTGCTGTCCCCTGCATCCCCCATCCCAGAGCTCACAGGGGCAGTCACCACCGCCCCAAGCTGCCAGGGCTGCTACAGAGACCCCCAGGATTTCCTAGAGAGGCTCCCACACCTTTTCAGCCTCCATCTCTAGCAGGAGGTGCCAGCAAAGGGACATGAGCCATGGGACTGACCTCACATCTCCAGCACCCATGGGAAGAGCCAGTGCAGCCCCAGCACCACAGCCAGGGGCTCAGCAGGAAGGGAGATGGGGAGCCAAGGCTGCAAACCCTGTTTTTAACAGGTCCCACAGGGCCTCGGGAGGCTCCCACCCAAAGCACTTCACCCAGTGCTGCTGGGGAAGGAGGGAGGCTGCAATTACAGGAGGGTGGTGAGAAGGAGGAGCTGTTGATGAGGCTGACAGCAATGAAACCGCCCCGGCACAGCAGCAGCGGAGGGCAGGGTGCTAATGATGGGGTCTGCTGGCAAAGGCATCTGCATCCAGCACCACTGAGATGCTGCTGCAGCTGGACCTGTGGGTACCATAAGGCAAGGGGAATTGCAGCCCAGAGCAGCAATGTGCTGTACCCCACTGCCCCTGCCAGCACAGTGATGCTGAAAGGACCTTCTGCTGCTTCATGTCAGCACCAACCCCAAGCTGCCATATGAGCCGCTGATGTTAATGCTTCCCCTGGCACAGGTTTCCTTCGTGCGGCCAGGATGGTGGTTTGCAGATACACTGGGGCTGTTCAGAAGCTCTCCTGTGGCAAACTTGTACCCAAGGACTGCCTGGATGAAATCAGGCAAACCCTCCTCAGCCCAGCCTGGTAATGACCATGTAACATAGAATCATAGAATCATAGAATCATAGAATATGATAGATAACATAGAATAGTTAGGGTAGGAAAGGACCTTAAGATCATCCAGTTCCAAGCCCCTGCCATGGGCAGGGACACCTCACACTAAACCATATCACCCAAGGCCTCATCCAACCTGGCCTTGAACACTGCCAGGGATGGAGCATTCACAACCTCCCTGGGCAGCCCATTCCAGTGCCTCAGCACCCTAACAAGAAAGAATTTCCTCCTTATATCCAATCTAAACTTCCCCTGTTTCAGTTTTAACCCATTACCCCTTGTCCTGTCACTACAGTCCCTAATGAAGAGTCCGAACATGGTGAGCACCCGTTAATCTGTTCACATTTATGAGTGAGACTG